CTGCTTCGAGGTACCAGGAAGGGAAGGAACCTTCTAGGTTGGAAGAAACCCTGGAAGGACACGGACACTCTTATCGATAAAAGCGACGATCTGGCTAAACTGGAAGGGGCCTCCCAAGTGTTTCATTTCATGCGACTGCCGTTGAAATGACAGGTCCAGAAGAAACGAAGGCACGGGTTTCTTTGTTGGCGGGCGGGCGTGTCGTGTGTCGTGTGTCGTGTCGCACATCCATCCATCAACAAACGGGTCCATCCGCTCCCCTCTTCTTTCAACCTACTATTGTATGTCCTGCGCATCTTGGACTACCTGGTGTTCGACAGTCCATCGACTCTCTCCGGCTCCATTCTGGACTTGTGGTTACCTGAACACCTGTGTACACATACAGCCACCCTCCTACTGATCCAATGCGAGGCGTGCCCATTTTATCTCTCTTGTCTTATTCGCGGTTGTCCAGAGGTCTGGAGGTATCATCCCCAGTATCCCAGATCCGCGCATTTTTGGAAACCTTCCATTGGAGGAAGGTATGAGTCACACCTGCCCAGGTGCGACGACAACGACGACGACGAACCTTAGCTCCTCAATTCGCGACGTCTGGGGGCTGCTGCTGGCCCGCTGGGCTCCATCCAAGTTTCCTACGTACGCAGTACATGGACCGGGAGCCTTTCCAATCCAATGCATTCTGTTGCACCAGGGCCGTCTTGATTCGCCAATTCCGCCTCTGCCTCACCCAGTGAGTCCTGCACTGTACCCAGGCACGTATGATGAGCCTTACTCCTCTGTACTAACAACTAGTATAGGCAGGCTTTCCTTGGTTTCAAATTCCATGCTTCTCTGAGCTTGCGCGATCAATTTCCCTTCTCCTTGTGCCAGCCACCAGTGCGGCGCCAGGTGGCGATGCAGTTTGGCCGCTGGCCTTGCTGTTGCACCTAGGCTAGCTAGGTAAGCTCTACTGTTTTCGCGACGCCGCGCGGGGCGCGCCTTGGTGAGTTGTCCACATCCCCATGTCTTTGTCCTCCTCATTCATTCACCAGCCGTCTCTTTGTTGCCCCTCTTTGCCCGACTTTTCTCCAGCAAGTCAACTCTTCCAATGGTCCTCATTCTTTGAGATAAGATGAGACGCCAATTGATGTCAATTGATGCAGATGGGCCTCTGTAGCACACAATTGATGTCAATTGGCTACCTACACATCCCCAGATACCTTCCTTGAACATGTGCCTTGCCTACCTTGTCTCTCGATCGCCTTTCGCTTCTCTTGATTTTGGCCTCGTTCTGACTGGAGCCTTGAGCAGGGGAGGACGCCGTATGCTCCAATCTATCTAGGTATCTACCGTCCTATGTACCTGCCTGCCAGCAGGTAGCGCAACTATTCCGGGGTCGGGGCTGAAGCGGCAAGTCGGATGTGAAGCTGTCCATTTGCTCTACCTTGGAATTGCTCGCGCCCCGTATCCGAAGTGTTTAATTGCACACTTTATTGTAGATACAGGTCTCCTTTGGTCGTATCAGCTCCTCCAATTGGCACCATTGTCCGCCAGAAACTACACACGAAGCTTATTGTCGGCTTCCTTCGGCCACCAGCTGCTCAGGTGTTGGTCGACTTCCCGGTCCTGTCCTCCCACAGTTGCCCATTCTCAGCCAACAAGGAAAGCCCTTTCTCTGGCATTTTCACTCGCATGGCGGTCAATGCGATACTGGTCATGCCCATCTTGACTGAACTAGCTCCCCAAACAACCCCGTCGGAAATAGACTTACGGGAGTGGCGCGTTGGCATCTGGCTTCCACATTTCTTGACGAGAGATCGCCTGCCCCGTCTTTGTGTCTCCCATTGCAGTCTGCCTATCTAATCCCAAGACAATTGCAATTGGACGCCAAACAATGTTTCCATTGCTGTCCGCCTTCGACAGCCTGGCCTCACGCTACGATATACCGCCCTCTGCCGGTACTCTCATGGGGTTCATGGGGGCTCCGCAGTCTGCCTGACAAGTGGCCGGGTCTTTTCTCCACAGACAGACAGAAGTGCACATTCGGGCGCGGAGCAGGGCCATTGGTATTCATCAATAATGGATTGACCCATAGGGGCAAAGCCAGGTGGCTATCGAGAGGATAGACAATCGCGTGCACAATCAAGTGTGGCCTGCTTGCTTTCCTGGCTCCGGTAAGCGGCCTGTCTCGTCGACCTCGAATGCCAGTCAAATCTCTACTACACCTTGGCCGTGCTCGGACTTCCGTCATACAACTCAGGCAGGTAGCCTCGCCAATTGGCCTCAATGAGCCAGCCTTGAAGTCAATCTTTGGCTATGAGTCTGTGACTAACACGCCGTGGATTCATCCGAGTCAATTCTTCAAGTGAGGTAGGGACAGTGACCGTTTCGCAAACAAACGTGCACATGGGAACTAGGGCCAGGCACACCAAGATGCACAATCCACTACTGTAATGAACGGTCTGGATGAGTCACGTTGTCTCCTTAGCCTTTTGTGGGCGAGGTCGAAGCAGCGATACACTGGGGCGCTGCTAATTTAGGTGCCTCAAGCCGTCGATAGTGAGTGCGGCGCAAACATTCAGACACAACAGATACGCAATGGAAGTATCGCCTCGGCGGGATCAAGTACCCATTGGCGCGGGGTACGGTCGGTACCTTGGGAGCGGGGATACATCCAGATACCATGCGTACATGATGCTTCCAGTGCCACCTCAGCAACGACGACCTCCATTTACAGGCTACTTGGACCTTGGAAGCGCTGGCTAATTAGCAGGTTGCAGTGATCGCTTCGGCGATTGAGGGTACCTGCGGATACCTTTGGGTACGGAGGGTGTTTTATGCCTGATGGACCGGGGTGGTGGATTGGGTTTGGGTCAAGGTTGGGAGCGGATGACTGGGAGTTGGCCAACTGACCCAAAGTGACCAGCGCAGGAGCAGGGGTGGCGCAGCCTTGGGATGCGACTAAGAACGACCTGAATGACTCCCTCGCTCCCCTCACTCCAATAGCCCACCCCACCCGTGTAAGTGCCCAGTTTCTCGCTAACTATCCCCCCTCTCACTTCTCGCTGCCCTCCTGGCCACACCCCACACCCAAAGACACAACACAGACATGAGCGGACTTAGAAACACCTCAGCCGTCTTTCACTCGTCTGTCCATTGCGACACACGATACACGTCCCGGACTTAACAGCACTGGAGGCGACTGTGCACCCCCAAAGCCAAGTCCTACGGGCTCCTCCAGGTATCCTCGCTACCCTGCCTAGTGGAGGGCGCGCGGCGTGTATCGTGTGTGTCGTGTCTTTTCTTGATTCCTCGTGTTAGTCGGTACTTCCAAGTCAGTACGTGTGTGTGCAACTGTGCAAGTGCATCCACGACACACGCACACACATCCTCTCACACGACCTCGAAGTGCCTACCCTACCACCTCCAGTTATGATCACGGGGGCACTCTCCAGCACTCAGTACCTAGTGCCAGTTGATTGTCCCGTCTGTCACTTCAGTAGGTAGGTGTCCGACTAACGCGCCTTACCGTACCTACCTACCTACTAATCATGCCTATTTGATGCGTAAGTAAGACCTGCCTGGGTGGTAGGTTTTGGGGGGGTGTGGGTGGTGAATGGCATTATTGTAATTGTTATTATTGGGAAGAAGGAAGGAAGGGTCCTACCTGGCCACACAATGCCCACTCCCTCCATTCGATCATTCATTCATTCAGTGATTCAATCATTGATTCAATTCATCCAGTATTACATACAGTACAGTGCCCCATACATTTCATTCACCACCACCACCACCATTATGAGGCGGCGGGTAGGAGGGTAGGTAGGCTAGGTTGGTGGGCAGGTGCCTTCCTCTCTGTCTCTTCACTTTGTCTCCCTCCTTCCCCTTCTTCTCGTTTCCCTCCATCGCTCTTTCTTACTTTCCCATATACACTCTTGAGAAGAGAGGCAGGTACATTGTACTGTTCTGTACTGTACCTTCTTTTCTCCAGGCGCCCGATTTCCGCCTGTGCCTGCCTTCTTCTAGACGCTGCCTCCCTCTCTCTCTTCTTATTTCCTCCTCCTCTCTGCCGCCCTCTTCCCTCTTCTCTTACTCTCCCTCCGTTTCGCTGCCTTCTCTTTCTTTCCTTTTCCCTCTTCAGCTGCGCGACCGAGAGAAAGCAAACTTGCACCGCTGCTGTTGCTGACAATTCCGTCATTTGTCGGATTTAAAGTAACAACACAATTGCGCGGCCTCTTCGGTTTCGCCACTCCTTCCACTGCCTTCTCTGGCCATTTATTTATTCTGGCGCTATCCCCACGCCTCACCTCGCGGGGCCCTTTTATCTACCCTACATTACTTAACCGGACTCGCTCCTCTCCCCCCAGCGACGCCCGCGCGCAACAAATTCAAAGTCGCAGTCATTCGACAATTGGTGGCAATCAGGAGGACAACAGTAAAGTCCGAGATCCAGCTGCCTATTCTATTGCTCAGAGCAGGAGAGGAGTCATAGCAGCCTTGCAGTCAATAGGAAGGGTCAATTGATTCTCCACTGGCGCCCAATCGACCGCCAGGCTTGTTGTACTGTACCTTGCCTACTGTTACCAACTGTGCAGTACCGCCCACCCTCCTCCCCCCCTTCCTGACAAACCACCACCGCACCTCACTTATATCTTGCCCTGAAACGATCAATTCCTCGTTTCTTCCCAACTTCTACTTGTGCCACCCAGCAATCACGGCAATTTAACTCCGGAAAATCCATCCTTTCCTCGTCGCGATCGCGGTTTCTTCGAGTTTCCGCAACTTCTGTGAAGGCGCCGCCGTCGTCGTCAATTGGCACTGCTGCCTGCACCTCGCCACCTTGCGCGCGCACCGCCAAATAGTTATAAACGTCAACCTCCGCCATGGCTGACAAACCGGCACAACCTAGCGCCATTCAACAACAAACTGCGTTTGACAACGGTCCTGCGCTCCATTCCTTCTTGCGACCCGAATCCTCTGCGTCTTCATATCTTGCGACGCCAACGACCGAGTCCAGAGTGATGGGCGCCCCTCCAGCAACGATGGCCTTGGAGTCTAAGAAGCCGCTTGATATTAGCAATCTGATGTCGCCGCCAGAGCCTGCTCCGTTTGACAACTTCCACCAAGGACAGGGACCGTCAACGCCAGTCCGAGGGTCAATTTCAGTCAATGAGCAGAGATCTTTTCCTCGTGCTCCCCTCTCCCCTCCCGTATCTCCTTTCACCAAGCCCAGCAACACCATTGACCCGTCGCCGACAATTCATGTCGCCATTAAGGATCCTATTTTGTACCCTAGCAGCGACTCGGTGTCAAGCCCGCCGCAGCCGCCACTCTTCGCGGAGGAGGACAATCCGATCGAGGCACGGCGGGTGGTGGACGAGCACGTTGCTGCACGGCCTGCCGCTCTCTTTTTAGAACACGCACCACCGAAACGAGAGGATTATGTCCTGGCTCTGTACTTTAAGTCTGAGGTCATGAAGAAGTATCTGGAGAACCCTCGCGGATGGCTAAGAAGAGAGCGCGAACTTCTGCTGGCCGATCGCAAGGCCAGCGCCAAGGCGAAGTTGCATCCAATTCTGCCAGCAAAACCACAGGTTATTCGAGTGGCCAATTCGAGAATCAGCAAGCCAGAGAGAATCGTATCTAGCACCAAGAGCCCGCACGTCAAGACAGCCAAGCCACCACGGCCAATCCGGGTGAACCCACAGCCGAGCAAGCCTTCCCGGAGAGTCAGCGCGACCCCTGAGCCTCGCAACCGCCCCGTTGCACCGAATCGCGAGGACAAGGACTACAATTCTCTGCCTGACTACTGCCCGCCTCTCAGCTCTTTGCCTAACAAGCCGAATAGCCTGAAGGTCGACTGGAAGGGTAATGCGCTGGATCTTAGCAAGGATCCTTGTGCACACTTACTTCACCCTGACGAGATACTTCTTGCCGCCGGGCTTCGGCTTGACTGCGCCACCTATCTGACAAGCAAGCGACGGATCTTTGTTCGACGCCTAGAATGCTACCGCATCGGAAAAGAGTTCCGCAAGACAGATGCACAGCAGGCTTGCAAGATTGACGTCAACAAAGCGTCGAAGCTTTGGACAGCGTATGACAAGGTCGGCTGGTTGAACAAGGAGTGGATGCGGCGCTTTGCGTGAGGCATTGCCTCTGTCCTGCCACTTGCGATGGCCATCCGGCATGGCTCATCGCCACCTCTGGCTTACGGTCAGGTAACTCCATCCCACAACTCTACTCATGACATCACGCATTGAACGGGATTGCGATCCTTACGAATTTCTCTCTTCCCTCTCACGCTCAGCATGGATCTGTTAGGCTTTCGGATTTTCCTCTTGGACTGGATTGATGATTATAGCCATCAGATTGGCCTCTCAACGATTGGGCTCCCTTCCACTTCTGGTTTGGGACAGCGATTCGCCCCATCGGCTTCTTCGTGTTTTTTCTATCGGATCTTGTTTCTCGCGCGGCATCACATCACGGACAGTTTTGCTTCGATAAACACAGCATTAGGGACTTTCACAACTAAATGATACCCGGAGTGCAACACCCAGACCATCTCACATGTTCCCCGTCACTCCACTCCACAGCACTTATTCTCTCCCCCCTGCATTATTACCACGGTTGGTTTAGGACGGCCTCAGGCTTGTTGGTTTTTGGTTTTGCGTTTCCTAGATGATGTCGTACCATTGTTTCCGGCCAAGGCTGGCGATTCTGGACAGAATGCGTCCCGTCTCGAGAGGGCGGTGGCAAGGACATGTTTCTCTGCATGTAACGGCGGCGTTCATTATGCTCCTCATGACTGAGGGCAGAGAGAATGGACCTGTTTTTTTTCTATTTACTGATTTATCATACCCCATCGATACATTACCTCCCCTTTGTGGAGGAGGTCAAGGAACAAAGGTTTCTACAGCCCCGACAGTATTGCGCTAAGTTTCATTTGTCGCTGGACTTTTTGCACCCAATGGGAGGATGGTTGGTTGTCTGATCTAGTTGACCTTCCCCGTCAAGGGACGTCTCTGATCTATAGGATACTTCACTTCATGTCTCCGTTACATCTGCGGAGAACTCCACAGGCCAATTCTCAAAGGCAAGGCGGGCAGGCTGCTTGCAGCTGCTGCGCGACCAGTGGCGGTGGATTCTTTAGGCAGCTTAGTACGGCATGACTGCCCGCAGATGAACGAATTTACACAAATGATTATTGTCAATTACACAAATTAATGCGTTCCCTCTTAGATTCTTATGTGATGTGAAGAGTACTGCAACAGACCAGATCTTGACTCGGTTGAAAAAGCTCTTGTGGATTTCAGCGCTCCGCAGCAATTGGTAAGCAGCAGCAACAAGCAACCCTGTCGGGCTCGTCAATCGGGAGATGAATCGATCATCGATCCCAATTGCAGCACCAGCACCAGCAGCAGCCGCCGTCGTCATGATCATGGATCCCTGGCGGTGCCTGCTTTAGCGTGCGTGGATCGACTCGACGGCCCGCCTGCCAGCTGCCCGCCTTAAACCACTTCTGGTGCAGCGCCCGCGCCCGGCGGGTTAAGCTTTTTTTTTTTCTCGCTCGGTCGTGGGTAAGGGGCGCTCAAGGTTGCCTTGCCTAGCTTGCCTTACGTACCAGCCTGAAAGTACCGTACCGTACCGTACCACACCGTCGGACGCACCCAGCTGCAGCGGGGCAAAGGCAAGCCACAATCTGGGGTTGAGGGAGGTGCCCCGAGCGTCCCCTGTTCGGTCGGTCGGTCGATCTCTCGAATTTGATCGCTTGGTATTTTTGAGCATGTGAAGAGCCGTCAAATAGGGTTGAGATGAACATTTTGTCAATTGGAATTGAGTGCGATCCAAACCGACGTTACTTGTGTAATCATTGCGGGAGTGAAGCGCCGCACAACAGTCAATCACTGCATCGCATCGGCAGCTTCCAACACAGAAATTGTAACTCCTTACCGGCTACAACTAATAACATGACAAATCCTTATAAATTTGATTAAAATAATATGATCGCATTCTTTTGCCCATAATCATCCTTTTTAAGTACATCATTTGTGTTGACTGCTTTTTTGGCTGGGTGGATGCCTGCCCATGTTGATCCTCGACGCCCCGGCAAACTCAGCCGTTTCTCAGCTTCAATGATCTTTAGAACTCCAAGCCTGGTACAAATACACAGTTTCTCTGAGTTGCTGACAAGTGATAATTTCGGGTCATATAGCGAATTTTTCAGACCATTGAAGGCCTCGATAGCCATCGTGCCTGCCAGCAACTCAACCACGGTGAAGTGTCGTACCCAGCATGAAGACACGATACCTCTAATGAGCCAAGTCGAAGAGAATGTGCTTTAAAGACCTGCAGCCAATGTATAGCCGCCGTCGACAGCAAAGGTCTGCCCGTTCAAATATTGATTTGCAACACAGAAGAGCACCGCCTGGGCCATATCCTCGTCTCGTCCTGGTCGTGCGGCGGGGACCTTCTCGGCGTACTTCTCCTTGGGGATATGGCTCTTCTGATACTCGTCGCTTTCTCCGGCAGTCATCTCAGATGGGAACACGCCCGGTGCAATGGAGTTAACCCGGATCTTGTGCCCGTTGGCGGCGATCTCGGCAGCCAGCAATCTCGTGACGTGGATGGCGGCGCCTTTGCTGGCGTTGTATGCAAAGTGGTGCTGGGCTGACTTGACCATGCCGCTGATTGAGCTGATATTTATGACTGTGCCAGACCAGCCCTTGTGAAGCTCGGAAGACTTTTGCAAGAGAGGGAGAAAAGCGGCAGTGGTGAAGAAGATGGAGGCGACGTTGGTCCTATAGGGGTCAACCCAGTCGTCAAACGTTGCCTTGTCGGTATCGAACAGATTTTGCTTCATCTCAGTGGCCGAGTCAGACTCGGTGGTGAGGCTGGCGCTGCTGATGCCGGCATTGTTGATCAAGACGCACAGGCACTTCTCGCGAGACTCGATCTCCTTGACCAGCTTGGCGATTGACTCTTTTGATGTGACGTCGGCTGTGATCGGGATGATCTCGCCGTCAATGTCCTGGCCGTAAGTTTTGACCACATTGTCGAGCTTCTCGGCGGTTCGACCGGTGATGTATACCTTAGCACCGTTGACGGCAAGCTTCAAGGCGCGAAGTCAGCATTTGAATTCGGCGGGAAGATACAAGTGGTGTAGGAATGGTTGTCAATTTGTAAATGCCAAGGGGCCACTCACAGCTTGCGTCGCCATGAGGCCGATTCCAGTTCCTCCGCCTACATGCAAAACGGATTGTTAGCTTTGGTGCGAAACCAGAGGATGGTCGAGTGGCAAAGGATTTGACTGACCCGTCACAAGAGCGACACGGCCCTTCAAATCGAAGAGGCTTTGGCGATGAAATTCATCATGGCTCGCTGCGGCAACGCTCTTGGTAGCCATGGTGCGATATTTGGGTTGGGAGAGCTGTGACCGAAGTAGTTGAAGGCGGGTGATGGGAGAAGATGGCGCAGGTGGGTTTTCGAGGGCGGATAATTGTCGAGATACAGCGATGCTACCTCGATTTATTTGTTGTGTGTGAAGAGATTTCCTGAGGATGGCGGTGGTGTTGGTGCTATAAGACAAAACCCAGCGTGAGGATCCTGACAAGAGCATGACGTCTATGAGTGCGCCAAAATGGAAGGTGGCGGGGAAGAAAAGGCAGGAACAGGCAAGTAAGAAGTGACCAAGTGTCTAAGCGGCTGGCTACCTAAGAAAGATGCGGAAAACGATGCAGGGGAGAGCCTTTCAAAGGGTGTTTTCAAGCGAGGTAAATTGGTAGACTTTGTCTAGTTAATCCCCATTAGATGGATGACCTTGGGAAGGTGTCACGTCGTGATACGGCTGGACAGATATGCAAATAACCTACCGTATCTCGTTGGAGACCAATTGATTTCTCCCTTCATTACAGTAGCTGTTATAATGACAATCTGCAAGAAACTAATATCTCGCAGCTCGAACATCAAATTACATCACATTAACTGTGAATGGAAGACATCAGCAGTCATGATGTCAGATCAACGTTGGAGGGACATCCCCAGGGTGCCCCGCCGTCCGTCTGACCCGGGGATTCAGCTCCGGCGGTGGGGTTGGGCTATGGCCAGGGCCAGGGCCGATCTCCTCCCTTTTACACCACCCTTCGATCTTCGTTCAAAAGATTCGATTGTCAAAATTCTTGGTAGGCAACTCACATGCATAGTCAGAGATTCTATTCATATTCCTGCTATTGGAAAGGGTTTGATGATTTGAAAAATCAATTCTTTAGTTGACCGATCGCGTTGCCAGCACCTGGACATGCACACGCTTTGGCCTTGCATTAGTTTAGTCTATGAGCTTTAAACAATAGGAAACATCTTCAAGTTCCGGCCTTTCAGAAACTGCCTCACGTAGTCTCTTAGGCTGTTCCGCTTAGCAAGAGCGTTACGAACCTGGACAATCTTGGACAGGATGCTCCTGAACTCGGGTGCGTCTCGCTCTGCGAGAATCAACAGTTGGCGTATCAGAACTCTCCATGCCTCCACCTTGTTGACATCATTATCATTTTTCAGATAACTAAGAGAAATATACCAAGCGCCGGACCGCTGAGCAAACTCCAGCTCTGTCTCCCGATCATCTGCGGGGAAGAGGTCCCTGCATGAAAGTCTGAAGCTGCTGAATGTCAACAGCTGCATATATCAGACGGAATAACCAACGTTCCCGACTAGTCACGTCATCCGGTATGCTGGCTTTGACCCTGGGTGTCTCGAGATGCTTGGTTTTGTTCTCGTCGAGCTTCAAGGCCTGCTTTGCCACCGAGGAGTGAGTTGTAACAGGTCGGTGAACCGGGCCCTGTTGTCGTTCAGTCAGAGAAAATATCTAGAGGACAATTGGTTCCACTGTGACGAAGAGAATGGTCAGCTTCTGCAGGAAGTCCATACTGTATCCCTTGACTGGAAGAGCGAACCTCAAGCCACTTGTTTCCTTTGGTTCTCGGATGTCCCACGATTCTGATCTTGCAGCGCGTGCTTGTCGTGCTTGTCCAGCAGCAGAAGAGACTCAATCAGTGATGTAAGAACGTAGAAATGATGAGACATACCTGTAGCATGCAGCAGACAGGTCACACAGGTCAAGCTTTCTCAGGTCAAATTCCAACTTGCTAAGGTCCAGAAGAGCAATAATAGTACGCCGGAGTGGCTGTCCGTCCTGATAATAAAGAGGATCACCATCTGCATTACGACGAATATGCTGCAGAGTTCGACTGAGGAGATGAACGCCCTGAGACAGCCGGCAGAACTTGCCCATAAGAAGACTCGACATGTCGCATACGCGAATAGCCCTGCCAGGAGTCAAATGCTGGTATACATGCTAGTGAAATACGCCAAGATAAATGGTTGTCATACGCACTCCTTTATCGAAATCATCATCTTCAACTGGCAGGTAAGTCTCAGTTTCAGGGTCTTCTGTTGCCGGAGCGCGTGATGGGTCGTTCAAGGCTATAAATCTAGTAAAAGTCAGAATCCTTATCTTGCGTCCTGTTCACGATGCACGAATCTGTCAAGGATAAGTATGCTCCACCACATCCTCCTTCGCTCTTCTAATGCATCTACTGAAAACAGGCTAGACTCAGATGGCGAACATTTTAGGTCTCGGTCGATTCCTAATACAACACCGTGCCGTGCACAAGATCCGATCGACAAGTATGCAGCGGGATATATGGCATGTCCCAATTCTCACAAAGTCGAAATGATTCCCGCTTGGAGAATAGATATTGACATGAACCCTTCCACTTCGAGCTCGTAATAGAAGAGTTTTACAATTTTGTAAAGTTTGAGATCGAAATTGTTTGCGCATGAAGTGGCAAGTTTCATGGACGCTACTAGGAGGTACAGTTCAAGTTTTCGTTGAGATAAAGGATTCAGAAGGCGTCGATAGAATTGCCACTTCAGGGCGATAGGGAACCAGTTGTGGACTTGAGCAAAGTACAACTCTGCAATTTGACGGACATTGCCTAGGTCTCCAACTACATCTAGTATATACTGTGGGATCGTAATATTTGGCGGAGGTAGTTCTAGATGAGTGGCTTGAAAGACTCCTGGAGCAATGAAGAAGGTGGCAGGGAATCTATCGTGTGCATGAATTTGTTGGACCGTAATACTACTCGTCGAAGGGACCTGAAACTCCGACGAAAAGATTATAGTCACTGATCAAAGGGCTTCGTGTATCGAGCCTACCTTTTTTTTATTTTCCGTTGTTTTCGTCCCTTTAGATATTGACACTGCAATTCCTTTCTGAAATCATGTGTCAGAAGTCAATCCTAGGCAAAGACGAAGTACTCATGGGAAAAGTAATTTCGAGATGTTTCGCTAGCAAATGAACAAATCGGAGTTCATGAAAGGTCTTGAGACCATGAAAACTAGAGCACCGCATAAGACCTCACCTTTGGCATAAATCGCGAATAAGATATGACCTATCGCATCGTCTCTTGTGTCTTCGGCATGTCAGACAAGAAAGAGCCGTTTGTAATTCTGATTCTGTCATTTTTGAGGCGGTGATGAGTTATTGGTCTGCTCTATATGGACTTTCCGGCCAGACTGTCTGGATGCGGGAAATCGCAGTTTGATGCGGTGATACATGTCAAAATAATCTCCATGAGGCCGACGACAGTGCCGCACAGGTGAAGGAGGACCAACTAGACCTGTTTGGGGCGGAGTTAGATGGACTTCCGAGAGTACTGGTATGTTGCGGGGTGCGCCATATTGCCGAATGTCCGCAAATGTGGCTTGTCTAGCGAGTTGAAAAGCTTCGATTTGACATGACTTGAAATGGAAATGTTAGGCGATCCGAGCTCAGAACCCAATTCACACTCTCTCTTAGGAGGATTATCTGCATGCCGCAGCCTCGTGAGGTTTGTTAAAGCAAAGGGAAATATCAAGGCCGCGTGTTTAGCACACTTACCAATACTGTGACCTATAAGACCGTTGATCACTAATAAGTCGAAATGGGAGAAACGTTGGGACGGTGTGGCGGACCTGATCCTTCCCAGAGAATCGCCGATCCGCACTTACATTTGATAGGGTTAACTTTGTTGCGTCTAATCCTTCAGCATTTCCCCGAGATTCACCAGCGACACCCCCGAGAGGCCGACCCTCCGCTGAGTTGTGCGCTCCGGCCAATGGTGTAATATCAAGCCTGCGATGCTTATTAAGTCCAAGTAGCTGAATGCCAGCCATACCAGCCAGGTTGTCAATGACGTATGGTGTAACAAACACGATTGAGTTTAATAGCATATAAGGTTGAGATAAATCCCGTTCAGCATTGCTTTGAATCAAGATGAGTTTTACAAATTCTTCTCAATTTACAAGTTGCACTATACTGTAATTATGACATCGCCTATTTGGTTCATCACTGGTGTCTCGAGTGGCTTCGGCCAGATCCTTGCACAACGTGTTCTACAGGAGGGGCATCGCCTCATTGGTTCGGTTCGTGATAGAAATAAGCCAGGTGTAAAAGAGCTCGAGGCTCAGGGAGCCAAAATCGTGGAGTTCGATACCACTGCTCCACAGCAAGTCATCATCGACAATGTCAAGTCTGTGATCCAGATATATGGCCATGTTGATATTCTTGTGAACAATGCTGCCTATGCAGCTATTGGTGTCTTGGAAGGATTTTCGTAAGTAGTTACCATGCCCATCCGGCTGAACTCAGACTGACTATCCTCAGAGATGATGAAGTGACCAAACAATTCGCAACTAACGTCTTTGGTCCATTGTATGTAATTCAAGGCGTGTTGCCCAGCATGAGAAGCCGCAGATCCGGTACCATTGTCAACATAAGCAGCTTTGCGGGACAATATAGCGGAGCGGCTGATGGCTTGTACGCAGCGAGCAAGTTTGCGCTTGAAGGGTTAACAGAATCACTGAGTGCTGAAACGTCTGAATTCGGAATTACATGGCTGATGCCAGAATTCGGAGCATTCCGAACAAATCTCCTGGGCAAAGACGCCCGTGGAACTCACGCAAAGGGACTGCCTCCTGGATATGAAGGCTCGGCGGCCGAAAAGGCTGTTCTCGAGTTCTATTCATGGGATAAGAAACAACCTGGTGACCCTGTTAAAGGTGTCGAGCGGTTATTCAATGTCATCACTGGGTCTGGTTCAGAAAAAATCGCCCAACTGAAAGGCAAAGTGTTGCGTGTTGCCATAGGGAAGGACTCTGTGGGGGTGATAGCTGGAAAGATCGACAGTCTCAAGCATGACTTGGAGTTGGCTGATGAACTAGAGGAGGCTGAGAGTACTGCCATTTAGTTCTTCGAGGCCGAGGTTGATGAGTAACGACTTTAACGACTTGCTATTGAGATTGCTTGATTTTTTACTTGATCGCTTTGATTCCCAGTTATTTCTAAATGATACACAGTGGTTTCTCGGTAAGATCAGTTCTTAACATAATCCACCCAGCTGATCAAAAGCGATGTCCATGCAAAAATTGTGACTAGCTAACACTTCACTGTCCTCACATCTCGTACATCTCCTGTCTAGCTTACGTTTTATTTAATTATCAATGTATGACAGGCATTAGAAGCTCCTGACCATTTTGTCTCACATGGATTAATCTTTTTGGGTGTAACCTGGTCCCTTTTTCATAGTAAATATTTTAGGAGGCGCCTCCATGATGCCCTCCGCAGTTATGATACCGAACACCTCTGCAAACTTCGTGCCCTGCCTGTGCTTCTCGAAGGCCGCTTGATTTTCATACCTAGACCTGTAAGCTCTACTATTTGCAACGAGTGAAGGACCAGAGGCATACTTCTCCAAGAAAATGATCATCGGCTCAAGGTTTGCACCTTGGGTTGTATAGCTTTGGTATGACAAAGCACCTGGTTCCGTTGCTTTCACATGATCGCACAATGCAGAGAACAGCTCCATGGCCTATCCGGTTGCATCAGCACAGCATATAGCAGTCAACCGATAATTGACTTACTCTGTCCACCTTGTCTGCTTTGGGATATAATATGGCCCCGATTTCGATTACCTCTGACATCTTGAACAGTCTGAGCGCCCGTTTTGTTCCCTAAAGAAATTGAAATGAGAATGAGGATTCGCAACAAATAGTGCTAATGATAAGTGCCTGCGGGAAGATTCCAGCTCGACAAGAAGGGCGCAACGACCTATTTATACTACTGAGAAAGTCCCGAGACTTATGTTTTGCTAGGCTCCATAGGTGGCGTGGTGGACAGCTGAGCTGTACCAGCCATTCTTGAACATGGCCGGAGCGCATGGCTTTGTGGTTTCCGAAGGCTCGGATCATGTGCAAATGGTAACATTTGATGACAAGATGACAGTAATACTGCGGTTTGCAGTCGCATCCGCGCAACCGGCGGTGTTTGCTTGTGGCGGAGAATCCGCTGAGTCCGAACGAGCCTCCCATGAGCATCGCCGACGGCGATAGGCCAGATGGGCACCACCAGAAAGAGCTTCACAAGCAAGCAGCTTGCAACTCCCAAATTGCCCTCAACTCACTGGCAATGATGATACCCTCCTAGCCGCTCGTAAAGTAGGGAAGTTGAGAGATGGCTCAGCTTGTCGAAAACACTCCAAGAGAGTCGCCAACCAATACTGAATAAGAATATTATACACGAAGACATGACCTTGATTATTCACACGGATCTGCAGAAATCAAAAGCGCCCTTGACTATCCGATCACGTATTGAGGATCGGTACAGACATTGCTTTTCACGGATGGCCCAGGTGTGTCCCGGCGGGAATGCATCCGTCGCGCCGATTCCGACGTCGACATACTTTATCAATTCAACATGGCTCTTTGAGCCGAAAGATCTAGGATGACCAGACTTATGTACAATGCAGGCGTACGATGCCAGCAGCTCCACCCCCATCGTGACCTATTTCCTGTCTCATTGTCCCTTGGCTGCCCTTTCCGCCTCGAGCTCCCGCTCTGCTTGTTGATAGTACTTGGCAGTGTCGACGCCGTGTTGATTGTGGTTGACAAAGTTGAACCATGGCATCACGGCCATGAACAGGGCTGAGTATCTAGACTGTCTCGCGGCCACACCCTGCATATTTGGCGTCAATTGGCTGTTTCCGTAGATTGGCTCTCCAGCCTTGACTTTGGCGACCATCTCTTTCATGTCCATCTCGACCTCGCGCGCGTTCTCAGACATGCCGTAGAATCGTACTGTGTGATGCACCGTTAGCTGTTGATCAACAATGTCAAGGACAAGGGGTTGTCGTGCGACATGGAGCACATCCCAGTGCCCGGTTGGACGTTACGCACAAATTGACCTCTGGTAGAAGTATAGGAATCCACCCGCCACACCGATAAAGCCCCCTAGTCGCATGGCCTGAGCAAATCCTCCTCTTCCGACGTGTGAAGGCGCGAATTTCTCCATGGCGAGGAGAAGACCAGGGCCTGCGGCGGCGGCAACGGCGCCATGGGCGTAGTCGGATGGCCGAGCATACCGGATTACTCGCTTAAAGTGCCTGTATATCATTGAGTCAGAAGATTCGTCGCGGAAGGTCAATTCGGGAGTAGACGTACGGGTCATTGTCGATGAGCTGCAATCGGCATTAGCGAACGGACGGAGGTTTGTAGGGAGTCAATGGCATCGAAACTTACCGGATAGTCGGTCTTGGCGACCTTGCTCGGTATGTAAGTTTGCGACGGTGTGCTGGCCATGGTTTGGGGTGGCCTTCGGCTGTTGCTGAGCTCGACAGGACCTCTTCTCCAGTGTGATGATCGAGATGGAGTTGCTCGCGGAAATCGACCTTGAAAAGTGAGTGCCTCAGGCTACTCTGTAGGAGGATTAGTTTCGGAGAGCTGGGATTGGTGTGAAGCGTGCACGGGCCATCTAGGTGGGCATCCTTGCCTTGGGTGGGCCGAGGTGTAAGTGCAGGTCCAGGGTGCTTTAGCCAGGAGACGCGCCAGTGATCTTGAGACGCGTCTAAGTTGTATCGACCTTTTAGGCACATCTCTGTCCTGCCTGTCCCGCTCAGCGATTCACCTGTAATTGAGCATACAAAAGAGCGTCGGCTCTAGCAGACTATTTATAACATTGCAGTGTATTCCTTGCTCCAGTGTCAGGGATGCCTTCGAAGACAGATACCCAGAGAGGCGGTGCGAAGCGGCCGGTGCTTGACGAACTGGAGAACTACTTCCTCGATGGAGATCTCGAAGACGATCCGTTTGGCTCCCCAAATGCCAATGAAGCAAGAAATAAGCGGCAAGATTCGGAGGGTTTGGGAATTGATGAGGCCGTCTCGGTGCAGAAACGTGCTCGGGAACCTCGAGTGAAGTTGGACGAAACACGGTCAGGCTGCTTCCTCGCATCTGCATGCTCGACCCGTACTAACCACCGTGCTGCAGATTGCTCTCAGAGAATGGAATTACCAAACTGCGACGGCGTGCTGGAGGTCTCAAATTGAAGGGCAAAGGGCATGAGGTAGGTCGATACGACGCTCATTTGGGTCACTCAACTTATACCTTTAGTTCTCTGATGCTGCACGACTTCTATCGTTCTACCAGCTCTGGCTGGACGACCTGTTCCCCAAGGCTAAATTTCTCGATGCGCTGGCAATGGTGGAGAAGGTTGGTCACAAAAAGAATATGCACAAGGCTCGCATGGATTGGATCAACGAGGGGAAACCTACTAGTGGTGACGATACCTTGCAGGAGACGGATCATGTTCCTCAGCCAGCGACCATTGAAGCAGCGCAAAGCTCTATAAATGGCCAAGGGCATAGTCGTACAACACCCGGGATCGATGATCTGTTCGATGAAGAGGATATTTACAACGCAACGCCACAAAGGGCAGGGCAGACGAAGAACACAGGAAGTCACGTAGCAGCCACTGGGGGAGGACCGCCGGACGAGGACGACCTTGATGCGCTTATGGCTGAAGCGGAAGCCTACGAGCAGGCCCAGTCTGAGAGAGTTGCATCTACAAGTCGACCACCAACAAGTATATTTGGATCAGCACCGCAAAAGAGCGCTTCATCAGCAATATCACGAGTGGAGGATGGTGAAGATGATCTCGATGCCCTGATGGCAGAAGCAGAGGCGAATGAACCGGGGCCATCAAAAGCAAGTACTGTAGCGAGACAAAGTATCTTTGGTGATGGGAGATTACACGGAAACTCGGCGAGTACTGGCGAGGACGAGCTCGATGCTTTGATGGCTGAAGAAGCGGACAAGTCTGCGACTGCGAAGTCGCACCCGCCGGCAACAACATTTGAGGATGAGGAAGAGGCTATGGCCGAGATGGATGGACTTTGGTGATGATTCGTGTGATTTGACACGGTTATGATTTACGGATCTTGTAATGATGGGATTATTATCAAGGCGTTACATGACAGAGTTCTAGAAAGACAGCCGTCACTGGATAGGGGGCGCTGTAACATTCGAGGTACCCAAGAACTAGCCTATTCTAGGTGAAAACATGGAAGCATTGAAGAGGCAAAGCTTTCGCCGTCCGCAATACGCGTGCCGACCTCTGGTGTCAGTAAAAGCTGTAAATATCCTTGCCGTGGTGTTGGGTGTCATACATTGGCGTGTGTGTGCAGTGAAGCTAGAGACATTCAAGCATTTGGTGGGGTTGAAATTGTCCTGCGACGGTACCTAGCACCGCGAAAACTCCAACGTCATTACCGCCTTACTAGGACCATTTTCCATCCATCCGCCAATGCTGCTCTCATGATCGCCCTGCAACGGCACCACCACGATGGCAGACAATCTAGCGGAAGCCCTGCACAGGCTTCACCTGGCTAGCAACACGGGGTCAGCGGCAACCGAGGGTGAAAATACCGACAACATTCTCTCACAGCAAGCTCCTCGCTCCAGCCGCAGACAGGACCCCGCGGCGCTCAAGACCGAGCTCGAGAAGAAATACCTATCGCCCTCGACTGCCTTCTCCACCGAATGGCTCAATCGACTGCAGCAGTAAGCCCTCATGAGATAGTTTAGAGAATGAAAATTGTTCTATGTTGCAACTAACCACAACATTGCCTGCTAGACGTTGGGATTGCCCTGTCGATTACACCGAGCTCTTCAAGGTAGCGCCGACCCAAACCCGGACCGTGACACGCTTCTTGCGACAAGGCCTTGAGGGAAGAGTCACCGGCTACAAAAACGTCACAGTTCCTGCGAATAGTGCTACCGCCAAGAACTCGACATCCTTTCTGCGCAAACCTGCTTCCCGAGCTGATTTCGTGCGAGGAGCTGCCGGTTTCTTCCCGTTCGCGCCTGGAGGACTGGAAGGTATTGAGGCCACCGCGGCGCTAGAGGACCAAGTACTCAGGGGAACCGGTGATGATGGTGGCGGCTCGGCCAACAAACTCGAGAGGGTCATCAGACTCGGTGCCGAGGGAGGCCTGCTTGAGGTCGCGCCTGGTCTGTCAAGGGGCATAGACTTTTCCAAGAAGAAGAGCAAGGCTAGCGAAGACGAGGCAAAGGCGATCGAGGAAGAGCTTGATCAGGAGCCCGAGCAGCTACCGGAACGTGCCGAGACCGACCATGCGGCCTTGGAAGATGGGACCGATGAGTCGGAGGCCGAAGACGAGGATGAAGACATTGATGCCATATTGCCCGTTGAGTTTCCAGCCCTGGAGCCACATGGAGCCCTTGCTGCTTCCAGTGCTAGGAAAGCTGGCCGCGAGTGGGCTCACATGGTCGACATTAAGCGGGAGATACCCAATTTCGACGAGCTGGTACCAAACCCAGCCAGGGAATGGCCTTTTGAGCTGGACATTTTTCAAAAAGAAGCCATCTACCATCTTGAGAGCGGTGACTCTGTATTTGTGGCAGCTCACACGTCTGCTGGAAAAACTGTCGTGGCCGAGTATGCCATTGCATTAGCTGCAAAGCATATGACCAAGGCAATCTACACCTCGCCAATCAAGGCGCTGAGCAATCAGAAGTTCCGCGACTTCCGGCAGACTTTCGAGGATGTTGGTATTCTTACCGGAGATGTTCAGATCAATCCTGAGGCCAGCTGTCTAATCATGACCACTGAGATCTTGCGAAGCATGCTGTACAGAGGGGCGGATCTTATTCGAGACGTGGAGTTTGTCATTTTTGATGAGGTCCACTATGTCAACGACTTCGAACGAGGAGTTGTGTGGGAGGAGGTCATCATTATGCTGCCCGATTATGTGTCCCTCATTTTGCTGTCTGCGACGGTGCCAAATACTCACGAGTTCGCCTCATGGGTTGGCCGGACGAAGCAGAAGGATATTTATGTCATTTCAACGCCAAAACGACCAGTTCCCTTGGAACATTACCTCTGGGCGAACAAGAACATCTACAAGATCGTAGACTCCGGAAAGAAGTTCATAGAGAAGGGCTGGAAGGAGGCCAACAACGCGCTGCAAGGGAGAGAAAAGACAAAAGCTCCAGAGGCAGCCGCCAATACTCGAGGAGGAGGCAATCAGCGTGGTGGGCAACGAGGAAATAATCAACGAGGCGGCCAACAAAGAGGAGGTGGCGGTCGAGGTGGAGGACAGCAAAGAGGCAGGGGCGGCCCTCCTCGCGCAAGTCATAACCCAGGCCATATGGGCCGTGTTGGTCGGCCTGGTGGCTTTACTTCAGCAGCCCAAGACAAGAATCTGTGGGTGCACTTGGTGCAATATCTCAAGAAGTCCAGCCTTCTTCCGGCCTGTATCTTTGTATTCTCAAAGAAGCGTGTCGAAGAAAATGCCGATGCCTTGAGCAACCAGGACTTTTGTACCAGCAGCGAGAAGAGTGCCATCCACATGGTCATCGAGAAGTCGGTGGCACGACTCAAGCCAGAAGATCGGGCTCTGCCACAGATTATTAGGCTGAGGGAGCTCTTGTCGCGCGGCATCGCTGTCCATCATGGTGGCCTGCTTCCCATTGTCAAAGAGCTAGTAGAGATCCTCTTCGCTCAGACGCTTGTGAAGGTTCTGTTTGCTACAGAGACCTTTGCAATGGGCCTGAACTTGCCCACTAGAACGGTTGTGTTTTCTGGGTATAGAAAGCATGATGGACATTCCTTCCGGGATCTCCTACCAGGTGAATACACTCAGATGGCCGGACGAGCTGGTCGCCGTGGCCTTGATACTGTTGGGTCTGTTATCATTGTGCCGCCAGGCGGAGACGAGGCGCCACCTGTCGTAGATCTACAGAAGATGATATTAGGGGAGCCTTCGAAGCTCCGATCACAGTTCCGTCTGACATACAACATGATTCTCAACCTATTGAGAGTTGAAGCTCTCAAGATTGAGGAAATGATCAAGCGCAGCTTTTCAGAACATGCTACACAGCAATTGTTGCCTGAGCATGAAAAGGCTGTAAAAGTATCCGAAGCCGATCTCGCAAAAATTAAACGAGATTCGTGTGAGATTTGCGATGTCCACATGGACGAATGCCACCAGGCTTCGCAAGACTACAAACAACTGACAGAAGAGCTCTACAAGGGCTTGTTGAACAACCCTATTGGCCGAAAGATGTTTACACCTGGCAGACTTATTGTTTACAACAAAGACGGTGTGCGAACATCTGGCGTCCTCTTGGCTGAGGGAGTGAGTGTCAAGGGGACAGCGACCACTGGCCCGACCGTGCATGTCCTTGAGATCAGGACACAGAGGGAGACTCGTGACTCGACAGATCTGCTTCCGTTCGTGCCTACGTTCCGCGGACTTCTGACTCCACTTCCTCAAGCAAAGAAGCATATCCACGTGAAGACTCTTCATGTACCTTTGGCGGATATTGAGTTGTTGACGACACACCTAACGAAGGGTGTCCTACCGGACATCTTCCAGGGTGGCGACTCTCATCAGAAAGCAAAAGAAAAATTGCATACCATTTGCAAATCTTGGACTGCTGATATCTGGGACGAGATGGACCTGAGCAAGATAAAGAGCCTCCAATTACAGGAAATCATTGGCAAGCGCAAACAAGCAGAGATTACGGCCTCTAGTTCCGAGGCTGTATCGTGCAAGCATTTCATCAAGCACGTAAGTCGGCTACTTATCTCGTCTTATGTAATTGCGCCCGACGTCACATGCTAATGATTTGATAGTTTGCTATGTGTCATGACCAATGGCTCATTAAGGAGCACATCACTCAGCTACGCCAGTCTCTGTCCGACCAGAACCTGCAGCTTTTGCCTGACTACGAGCAACGAATCGAGGTTCTAAAGGACTTGGGTTTCATTGACGAGAGCTCACGTATACAGCTTAAAGGCAAAGTTGCCTGCGAGATCCATTCAGGAGATGAGCTTGTCTTGACGGAACTCATCCTCGACAATGTCCTCGCTGACTACGAACCCGCCGAGATTGCTGCGCTCCTTTCGGCCTTCGTTTTCCAGGAGAAGACCGATTCGGTGCCCAATTTGACAGGCAATCTCCAGCGAGGTATGGGAACGATCATCGAGATCAGTGAGAAGGTGAACGAGGTGCAGACAAGACACCAGGTGATTCAGTCCTCTGAGGAATCGAACGATTTTGTGTCGCGGCCACGGTTCGGTCTTATGGAAGTGGTCTACGAATGGGCACGTGGCATGTCGTTCAAGAACATCACCGATCTGACTGATGTGCTGGAGGGCACAATTGTGCGGACTATCACCCGCTTGGACGAGACGTGCCGTGAGGTGAAGAACGCGGCAAGGATCATTGGCGATCCGGAGCTGTACCAGAAGATGCAGACGGCGCAGGAGATGATCAAGAGAGACATCACCGCTGTTGCTAGTCTCTACATGTAGGAACGAGCAGGGTGGCATTGATATGAGCATGTTGGGCCTTCCCTAATTACTGCTGTATCAGAATTGAAAGTGCCCTGGAGGAGCTTATGAGAGACGACATGATAGCATAGCATGAGTATGAGGCACTGTATGCATTTACGGTAAAGAAAAAGCATAGATGGATAGACAAATTATCCCAATGTAGGAATCACCAGGAAAGTTTTGCAAGAATCAAGGTATCCAGTAACTATTGCTTTCGCTAGTGTAAAGTGAAGGGTGGCCTGGTGAGAGGTCTCTATGAACAGCTTGTGAACTCAGCCATTACCTGAAGGCACTGGATGGACGCACTGCTAGTGGGCTCGACGAGAGCCGAGTATGATCATACTATGAAAATGAAAAGTCCCAAACGCCCAAGTACGCCAGACATTCTCCCAGGGCACAAGTGAGGCCGGCCCCAACCATCGACCTTTGCATCCAGGACCTATGCACTCAAGCCCTCAACGCCCTCAGGCGCTGCTGCAATGCATCTTCCTCCTCAGCAGTCGGCTCATTCGTAGCCGTCTCCTTGACGGGCTCCACCTTTGATGTCGACGCTGAAGCCAGCTCCTGTGACAGCTCAACCCCGGCGTCGTCGGCCAGCTTGCCTAGCAGCTCGTGAACCGCATCCTCGGAGACCTGCACCGACGTAGATGTTGTCATGGCGTCCTGGTAGATGCTGTTGGACATGGCATACTCTTCGTTTTGGTTCTTGAATTGCTCGAGCGTAACGAGGGTCTATCGAAGCAGGCAACGCGATTAGTACTTAGATATCATGACACGGAAATCGCAGACAGGTCATACCTTCTCGGGGTTCATGTTCTTCTGGGCCCTGTTCATCGTCCTCGAGGACTGCGCCATCATGTTCGTCATGCGGTTCATGGCGTTGTTGGCCTGGATCTGGGCTACGGAGAGCTCGGCCATGTCGGCAGCCTGGTCCATCTGCTGGGCGATGGCCTGCTTGGCCAGCAGCATGCGCGCCTTCTGGTATGCTTGTTGCGTCTCGCCCTTCTTGAGCAGCTATATCCACACAATGTCAGCCTGTTGTTTCCGAGCGGTGTTTGTTGTATAGGAGGAGCGAGAGGCGCATGAGTCGTTGGACAGGGAGACGGACCGTTTGTATCTGCTTCTTCAGCTCGTTGTCCGCCTTTGCGGCCTTCTGAGCCTCTCGACGGGCTTGCTTCGCATTGAACTATAGTCACAAACCTCGTTAGCTCCGCATAACGGTAGACAGAGGCGCAATCGGGGAGGCGATGTCCTCTTCGCGATAAGGAAGAGTGACAGGAGATGCGGCTTACCCTCGCCTGGAACTCAGTCTGCATGTCCCTCGCCATCTGTCGTTGCGACATCTTTGCGGACTTGGTGCGAGCGACGAAAACGAATGGGAGAGTCGGTAGTGTGTAGGTTGAAGATATTGCAATGTGGCGATGATATTGGAAGAGGCTCAAGGCATATGATCACCAAGGCTGGCCGTGAGCATGGTGGTGGTCTAGGCTCCCCCGCCTGACACGGGCACTCTTGGGCAGGTCGAGCCGCTTGGCGGGACGGTCTTCAATGGTGGGGCCACTGAGCCACAGATGACGCAGTTTGCGCCTCGGAAAGCCACACGCTCGTTACAGCACCCTTCGAAGAGTCCTGGGCGAAGGGTGAATTGAAGGCAAGCAATTACTATTTGAACATCTCGTCGCCCGCCTCAACATAGGTATTCCTTGAAGGGAATATAATAGAGTAATATCCACTGCTTTATCGTTACACTGTATGAGCTACAGTGATATGAGACTTTGCCTTCGATCCTGCCTGTCAAAACAAATTTACATCTATACCTAACATTGAGGGGGAAGTAACAGGACAAGAAGCGGTAGCTTTGTTGTTCATGTTGCTGCTAATTCGCCATATGGTTGTCTTTCCTATTAGCTCATTCGAGGCCGCTCATGATCTTTGACTTAGCTAAAGATTTCTCCTGCTGCTTGGTGGTAGGAAATCCGCCTTATAGGGGATGCTTCAAGACCCCTAAAGCTGCTGAAATACAGAAAATCAAGCGGTGGTACTTTCGCTTCGGTGATTGCAAACATGGGGAACTTGCCACCACAGCCAGTAACATCTTACTTGGTTCGAGTTCCATGCGAACTCTTGCGTACAGTACGCGTACGCAGTGATGCAAACCCCATACCTTGACAAGACAACGACTTTCTGTCACGATGAGCTGTTGGCTGGAACAGGTCTTCCCTTTCAGGAGAGACAGGGGCAGCTGCTGAAGAGCGCCCCCAGCCAAAGCCCCTGAACCCCGCAGAGATGTGACGGAAGCGAGCCCTCGATCCCTGGAAGCGATCTCGGAAAATGGCATGGAGAGCGTCTGTGCGACGGCGAGATCTTGCCTCATTCGACGGAGCGGTTTTGCGGCTCTGAAACAATCGACATGCACATCGAAAAGGGGGGATTTCAATAGTTCGTTGTGTTCGTCAGAGACTACGCTGGTCGACACAGCCCTAATGTGAGGGAGTCTGGGCACTTTGCCCACAAAGATGGGCATCTATGACGCTGTATTTGTTGTAGGTACAGTAGTAAACTATGCGGATCACCAGGAGCCATTTCTCCACCGTTCTCTTGCTTGAGCGCAGAACCGAGTTGATCGTCGTCTTCAAACAAGTCCATCTTGCGCTATGTGTTCCGGCAAAGATGCCATTCTCTTCAAGGTGCTCTAGTCTTGGGAAATAGAGCTGCGGGAAGGACAAAGGCGGACCTAGACGTGGTTCTAGGCTCTACGGGGTCTCAGATAGCCGTTGACAGGATTGTTTGTCGAACAACCCAAGCACCCATGGATGTGAGACTCGCAGAGTACCAGCCCGAGCAGCCGTGCCAGCTAAGTGCTGAGGCCAAGGCGTGCATCAAGGGCGAGAGGTGGCGTTCAAATTCCGACTAATATTGGACATTGAGGGGAACATACTACAGACGGTGGGAGAGGATACACAACCTCGAAACAATCCAATTGGAAGTCTACCCTTTTCAGCTCCCGAACGGGGGACCGCTCAAAAGGGGAGTGTGCGGCTGTGATTCCCGAAGCTACTGCACTGCTCCAAGGGGACAAGCAATGGCGGAGGAATCGGCATCTCAGCTTCCAGCTAATAATGTCGGCAGGGTTGAGACGAAATGCACGCTTGGAGTTTACGGAGGTAGACACATGGGCTCCGGATCTTCCATTGCTTATTAGAGGGGGTAATCGTTGCAGAATCTTGATAATGCTCAGAATCCAGATTTGGTGTGCTGGCAAAACATGTTAACGCCATCCGAACCGAAGCCAGTTGCCTCAAACCACTCATCTCCCGCCTTCAACGAGAGGCGAAGAAACTGGAATACTGGGGATGCAATCTAGAATTCTGCGTATCCCGGTAGACTCGATGCATTTCATCCGCGTAAAGTGCCGGCTCTTGTTCCGCAATCCGGCTGGTGCAGGTGGATTGTGGTTCATACGTGACCGCCCGGGGCTCATGCCGTCCGGGGTATATCAGGCTGTATCCTCTTGTCCGCATGAGCATTAAATTTTCGAGATAGAGTGTCGCCGAAACGAGGGCTGGGGAAGCTCAAACGCCCGCCGGAGCAACAGCGCCTGGGCCAATATTGTGTTTGGAATGAAATGTCTGGATCTTGTGAAGCTGATGGAAGCTCGAAGAAAGCGACCCACCTGGATGCACGGAACAGCAAATGTGTGTGCTCTGGTGGCTCTGTGGTTTGCGAGCGGCCAAGGCTGTGGAGAAACTTACGCTTCGCTTGACTGCCGGCGGGTTTCGCTTTAGCTAGCATGCATTGCCCTTCCCGTGTCCCATTCCATTCCATCGAGGTGCTTGGCCTGGATGATTTCTCAAGGTAGGATTGCTGGTATCTGGGCGTGCTGGGTTGCCTATTGAGGAAGTCGGGTAATATCACGCCTATACTGTAGGGCAAATAGGTTCGCGGGCATGATTGTCACGCATTTGGCAAGGTGACTCTTCAAAGCTACCCAAGCCGCTCAAAGTGGCATCTCGATGCAGACATCAGGACAATCAAAATCAGCTTATGGAGCGCATGATATCGTATCGGTCTCCTGCAGAAGGAGACGAGAAAGGGGGAAATCCCATTGTCATGGTCTACATAGTACGAGTGAATCGCCTATTGTCGATGCATAACGTCAGCGAGAGGACAGTAGCGGCGTGCTAAGTTTAGAGCTGAAAGGACCGGTTGGCGCACACTCAGAAGTCAGCACGTAGTGCGAGCCCGCAATGATTCCGCCGATCTACGAGAGCATCATCAAGCACCAGCGCCGTGGAGCGCAGAAGATGGGCGTCAGCAAGCAGCGAGCACAGCCGCCATATCGCCGCCATGGCACCGCAGACCCGCTGCTCTGAGTGGCCCGATCTGTCGTGATTGTCTGCAACTCCCAGCTACATGTACCTATGATGATACAGGACTTCTGCCTTTTTGCGATGGGCTGATATGCGATATGCTACCTGCAAAGCCAAGAGAGGAGGAGCACGACTGGGAAAAGGGAGGAAGGTCTTCAATCCAACGTGGGCTGGCCATCTATCGGTATCGGTATCTCGCTATTCTCCTCTCCTCCCTTTGCAAGACTGGCGAGACTGGGCTCGCCCGTGCATGTAACATTGGCTGAGGCACCTCCAAAATGCATACCACTCATCCACAACACCTACCAAAATGGTTAAACACCCAGACTCGCTAAAGTCGCTGGGACGGGTTCATCTGTGGGAAACATGGATAGTTAGTTGCAATGTGCTATGGTATTCTTAGCGTAAAAGTCAGGTATGCGCTGTTACGTACCTCGAGACGCTTAGCTGCTTCGTAACTCTGAGAAGGTGGAGAAGCATTACGGAGGCACAGGACGACCGGGAGGAGGGGAGGTACCTCCAGCTGCAGCTACGCAATCAAGGCAGTATGCAATTCTCCCTTGTGGACAGTCCCTAGGAACCTCCTGAGCCTCCCTCGCCAGACAAAGCAAAGTGCAGACAAGCAAGGGAATAGATCAAGATTACTCAAGTCTCTTGCTGATCTACAGATGGGCAGCCTGACCTGCGACAACACAAAGCTATTCCAGGCACTCCGACGATCTCAAGCAGAAGGATTGGTTTGTTGGAAGATAATACTAATAATACATCAAAACACTGTACAATAAAACCAATATCTGTGTGTGTGTCTCGTACTGCAGCAGGCCGGCGACACGTTTCTTACGAGTCCGAGTACCTAGGTAGGCAGGCTACCTACCAAGTACCCTAATAAAAGGGGGGCGGCAGACCTTGGCTTGCTTCTGGAGGGTACAAGCAACTGTGGGGCTATTTACTTTTACGGAAGGGACGCCAGGGGCAGAGAGAACGAGAAAGAGCGACGGGGGCTTTGGGGGCGTGGAGTGGACTGTTGAGTCTTGACAAGGGGGGGCAAAATCAGGGGAGCCCCTTCCGAGTTCCCTCTTTTTGACTTTCCTCGTTCGGAGCTGCAATTTGGGCTTTTGCGCTCCCACGTTCCACCAGCACCATCCCGCCTGCCATTCCCCCACCAATCACGTTGCCACATGCCAGGAGAGCGCAGGATGTACCTGGTGGCTGCCTGAGGCTGTCAGCCCCTTGGGACTCTTGGGACAAACGTGTCCTCAAGATAAAAGAGGCCACATCGCCCACACACAGCACCGCAGGCCAGGCTCCCGTTGTTCCTGGCATCAGATCATCAACCCCCTCCAATACCAGGCACCATTCACTGCAAAGGTAGTCAGTCTACTGCTATCACATTGAGTTGGCCACCGTGTCTTCATCGTCAAAGCAGCCAACCACACCGCCTGCCACTCTCTGCCGCCCACCAAACGGCCTTGACCGTGACTCATTGGCCTGAGTCGTCATCGCACTCTTCGCATTATGCACCGCCGCTAGTCCTGTGCCTTTCAGCGTATTTGTATTGAGGAACTAGGACGGCACCTCTTTACTGCTGTAACGCGGCTACTCTCTTCACCTCTTCTGTCTGCAAGTTAATTCTGCTGCTGAGCTACTATCACATCTTCTCGCCACACCTGCGAGACGACTGTAGCACCGCTTCAAACCTGCACCCGCAGTCTGGTTCAAGAGACATCCGCAACAAAGTCCTCCTTCACCCCTTCGTTTCCGTGTCTTCCCAGCGACAATGGATTCTTGGAGCAGCCAAACCGCCTCTCCCGACATCAAGTTCGAGAACTCGCCAGCCGAGTCCTTCCTGTCGGCTCCCGGCGACATGTACCCATCCCTTTTCGGCACGCCCGCGTCTACCACAATGAATCCCTTGGAGATCATGACACCCCAGTCATTCCCCGAGGACAAGACATCCGATGTGGCCGGTCTGACCATGTCCGCCGCCTCAACCCCAGCTCCTGAAGATGCACCAACCGGTGACAAGAAGCAGAGCAAGAAGCGCAAGTCGTGGGGTCAAGTCCTTCCAGAGCCCAAGACCAACCTGCCTCCGAGGTATGTAGAATTCCATTCAAGTCAGCGCGTGTTTGTATCTCATGCTAATCTTCTTGCAGGAAGCGAGCCAAGACGGACGACGAGAAGGAGCAGCGCCGAGTCGAGCGCGTCCTCCGCAACCGTCGCGCTGCCCAGTCTTCCCGAGAGCGAAAGCGCCTTGAGGTCGAGGCGCTGGAGAAGCGAAACAAGGAGCTAGAGACTGCTCTTTTGCACGCTCAAAAGACAAACCTGATGTTGGCCGAACAGTTGAATAAGTTTCGACGAGACTCCGGAGTGGCTTCCTCAGCCTTTGACTCCTTCCGGCCCAACCCAATCACATTCTCACAGGAACTGTTTGGCTCACAAGATGGCCACGGCTCCGCAGCGGACCAGAACAAGCCGTCCCTGATGGACGAGCTTCTGATGTCCGCCCAGTCAAACAACACAGTCAACCCCGCCTCTCTCTCCCCGGCCCTCAGCCCTGTCCCTGAGGAGGAGACTGGTGAGGACTTGGAAGATGACGAGCCAGCGACGACAGCGACGCCTGCCGCCGAGGCTGCTGCGATTGAGAACATTTCCCCCGACGTGACACAACATCCTGCTGAGGTGTTGTGCTCTGGCCTGCAGTGTCAGTCGGCGGAAATGCCGCAATCGTGGCTGGCCTCGCAGCAACCGCTGCACCCGGCGCTAGCTCTGTACTTGCAGCTCCAATTGCTGCTGACTTCCACCTCAACGATCCTTTCAGTCTGTCAGCGGCCATTGACGCAGATAGCTATGTCCTTGAAAGCGGGCTTCTCTCTTCCCCCAACTCGTCCGATTTTGAATACGATCATCTGGCTGGTGACGCAGCCTTCCCCTTCCCGCCTACGGCGGCAACGAACAACAACTTCGACCTCTTCGACATCAATGAATTCCTCAACAACGACGAAGCGACAACCGCACCAGTCTCATCTGGCAGCGGCCTCGCAGCCAACAACCAGCCCTCTCCGGTCCACGAATCTGAGGCTCAAATCACTCCGGAAGATCTTAACCTGCAGCCCCGTCTTGGCGCGTCCGCTTATGGATGCGACGATGGAGGTATTGCGGTTGGTGTCATCTGAAGGACGTGAGTTTGACCGGATCGTCGACGGAGAGAAGGCCGGGAGTTCGGCAGCGGCAGCGCCTGATCTACAGGGCCGGTGGCTGAACGGAGCCAAGTTGCCGTCTAAGGAGGTCTTGCTCACATTATTGTGGGCACTCAAAGTCGAAGAGAAGAGGTTACAAATAAGGGAAAGACTTGTTACTCCTATCCCGTCGGGACCCGGAAAAACAAACAGCGTCCTACAGACAACGACACCAGACAACCAGAAATATGTATTAAAAGTAGTAGCGAAAAGGGGCTTCGAGGAGCAGCATCAAGGCCAGGGTATTCCCTGCGGGAAACGGCGTCGATCTAGGTTGTGATTTATTTTTGGGGTAAACGTCATGTCCACAGGACACAACGAGGCGTCCTGGCATGTAGCAAAGCTCATGTAACTGTGGTTGTACTACTAGTACTATCTATCTACGATGGAAAAAATGAAACTCTGATGACAATCTAAACAACTTCGTGTCTTGTGAAGAATGCTCTATGTGCTTGTGTGTCCATGAAAGCCAGGGTTCAGTGATAGCTGCGATGATTGAAGATCTGCGCTGAAATGATCCCGGATGGGGCTTGGATGAATGTCGAAGATACCTTGGATGGTAATTGTGATAGGGGCTGCTTTCTCATAGGCTTTTGATCTCTGAGAAATATCTTACTTGGGTAGACTGAACCCCCTACACCTGGGCAGCGATGGAGGAGGTGGACAAGTCTACAAGTGAGCCTGATTGGCTGATGGCCGTAAAGTGGAGCAAAATGTTAAGCAATGGGCTTTCGCGGGGCAGTTAAAAAAAAAGATCCAAAAAATCTCCCGTTCAGAAAATACAACGATAAGGCGTTCATTGCAATTCTGCCACGCTACGCTGCAATGGCAACCGCAACTCTTGTCGCTCAGCCACTGCCGGCCTTGCCTTCTGGCTGGTCGGCAGACAAGGACTTCAAGGCCATCGGCAAGGTCACCGCTGCCACCCAGAGGAGCCTGGAACCGATAGGCCCTCACTTCCTCGCCCATGCCCGCCGAGCCAGACATAAGCGAACATTCTCTGAGGATGATCGGATTCAGGCACAGGAAAGCGCCAAGAAGGTTGAGGATGAGGACGATGGCGAGATCAGCGAGCCGGAGGACCCAATGATGTTGCAGCGTGAGGCCAAGGACTGGAAGGTAAGCCGTCACGGACAACCAGCAGCCGCCGATTGTTGTAGTGACTTTTACTAACGTGTGATTCCTCATCTCTAGGAGCAAGATCACTACCAGGTTCTGGGTCTGTCGAGATATCGATACAAGGCCACTGAGGACCAGATCAAGCGTGCTCACAGAAAGAAGGTCCTGAAGCATCATCCCGACAAGAAGGCTGCCACTGGCCGCGCCGAGGACGACAATTTCTTCAAGTGCATCCAGAAGGCTACCGAGGTCCTGCTCGACCCCGTCAAGCGCCGCCAGTACGACTCCGTCGACGAGGCAGCTGACGTCGAGCCGCCGACCAAGAAGCAGCTGGCCAAGGGCAACTACTACAAGCTCTGGGGCAACGTCTTCAAGGCCGAGGCCCGCTTCAGCAAGACGCACCCGGTGCCGTTGTTCGGCGATGACAAGTCGACAAAGGAGGACGTCGAGAACTTCTACAACTTCTGGTACAACTTTGACAGCTGGCGCTCTTTCGAGTACCTCGACGAGGACGTGCCGGACGACAACGAGAACCGTGACCAGAAGCGCCACATGGAGCGCAAGAACGCCAACGCTCGCAAGAAGAAGAAGGCCGAGGACAACGCCCGCCTCCGCAAGCTGCTCGACGACTGCTCCGCCGGCGACGAGCGCATCAAGCGCTTCCGCCAGGAGGCCAACGCCGCCAAGAACAAGAAGCGGCTCGACAAGGAGGCGGCCGAGAAGAAGGCCATCGAGGACTCCCGTCTGAAGAAGGAGGCCGAGGAGAAGGCGGCCAAGGAGGCCGAGGAGGCTGCCAAGGCCGACCGCGAGGCCAACAAGAAGGCAAAGGAGGCTGCCAAGAACGCCGTCAAGAAGAACAAGCGCGTGCTCAAGGGCTCGGTCAAGGACGCCAACTACTTTGCCTCGGGCGATGCCTCAGCCGCTACTATTGATGCGGTCTTGGGCGACGTCGAGCTGGTCCAGGGCAAGATTGACCCCGATGAGATTGCTGCTCTGGCTGGCAAGCTCAACGGCTTGAAGGTGGCAGACGAGATCAAGAATGTCTGGTCGGAGGAGGTCAAGCGCCTCGTTTCTGCTGGCAAGCTGAAGGAGGGAGACGCCAAGTCCCTTACAGCATAGACTTAGAAGTCCTTCAATTTGAGCTGTGGCGATTTGACATGTTTATTTCACAAGATAGACGCAGAATAGATAGCACACAACAATGAGCACGTTATCTACCTAAATCCACAGAATTACAGCCATGTGTGACTGACAGTCGATTCGAGAACAGAGTTTCCAACGAACAAATGCCATCCCATTACGAATTGACAATGCTGTGGTATCTACACATTTCACATGACAGCGTTAGCAGCTGTAGCTCGAATTTTGGATCGCATAGTAGTTGATATTGAGTGCTGCGCTGGCTGCCTAATGCCTGCCTAGGTAACCTGGGTCGGCATATTCCTTACACCATCTCAGGTGACATCGCGTGCGAGCAGCTCGCGTCCTGCCCTACCTTATCGTGGCATTCGCGTTCTGTCGTTCAATTGATTTACTGGCTTCCCCAAACGCCACCACAGACGATCTTATGCAAGCCATGTCTCCCAAGCGGCCCCTTCTGCCTAGAAAGCACAAGCTCAGTCAAGGGGAATCGACGGAGAGTTCACTAATCGGGAATGGGTCTCGCATCATGGCATTCTAGACAGTCAATACGTGAGGTAGGTTTAGGCTTGCAATCATCGTGGATATTGTCCTTGTTGCATTTCAATTCAACCAGTTGCCACATTCTCGATCCAGCCCAGAACTCACACATGATAAGACGGCCAGACTGTTGCCCCCGACTATAGTGTACGACGTACCCAGCAATTGCATATAAAACTCCAAGTTTAAGACTCTCGTCCTTCGTCAACTTGAGGAGCCATCAAACCATCCCACATAGCCAATTAGACGAACATTTCTATCGCTCTCATAACCGCTTATCAACTCGTCATGCCTGGAAAGGTCAGACTCCCTTCCGCTCTCGCCACATGAGAACAGTAACACTCTTCAGAATTTGTATTAACATGTCTCTCTTCAGATTGCAACCTACGATGAGTGGCTTACAGCCCGCAAGGCCCTTATCGAGAAGGAAAAGGAGCTCTTCCGCGCCACAAATGAGATCGCCGCCCAGCTTCGCGAGCTGCCCATGGTGAAAATCGACACGGAGTACACGTTCCGCACGGGCGCCGGCGAGACGCTGTCCCTCAAGGACCTCTTCGGCGACAAGAAGCAGCTCATCGTCTATCACTTCATGTTCGACCCGGCGTGGGCCGACGGCTGTGCTGGCTGCAGCTTCATGGCCGAACACTTCCCGCCCATTGCGCACTTGGCGTCGAAGGACACGGCGTTCTACGCCGTGTCGCGCGCATCGATTGAGAAGATTGAGGCGTACAAGAAGAGGCACGGCTGGACCTTCCCGTGGGTCTCGAGCGCCCGGGGCGACTTCAACCATGACTTCCACGTCAAGCAGGATGAGTGCGCGGAGCCAGAGGAAGCGAAGAAAGGGAGCAAGGACAAGGAGCAGCCCGGTATCAGCGTGTTCTTCCTCCAGGACGGCGAGGTGTTCTACACCTACTCGGCCTACTCTGTCGTCAAGTTGCTTGGGACGTTTACCATGTTGGATATGACGCCGCTAGGCAGACAGGTTGATCCAATCACTGGCCCTGCTGATTTTAGACGTCTTGGTGAATATGTTGAAGTTTAGTAGATATAATTTATATTATAATTCAGGTTAGAGATATTTAATAAATTAAAAGTTTAAGTTGTTTTATTAATTTTAGATAGTTATAGATATATAATAGGTGTATTGATAGTTGAATTACTGTTAGAAACCTATAACTGCTAGGCATTGTCTTTATATAGTCAGATTCAAGTCTATGAGTTTCTGCATTATTTACAATCTGCTGCAAGCAGGTGAAGAGATACGTCTCCAGCCTCGGCTGTCACACATTGCTTAGTATCATGCGATTGGACTGATGTAGTCTCCTAAGACTAAAACATCCCTCCACGACTCTATCTAGCCTAACAAAGAACGGCGCAAGAGAAGGATCGATCCACCACCAAGCCTCTTCATCCATGAATGAGCCCTGCCTAGATACCTAGATAGGTATCCTGATGCCATTTCCATCATCATGTCATCCCACAAAGTCACGCTCCAAGGCCCTACAGCCCCAGGTGCAGCAGTTTTTCTTAAAAGCTTCGCTGCAGCAAATTTGCGTCTCGTCACGCTCCCAATCATCCTACCGCATGGTATCAGCATCGGCCTCGGCCTCGACGACTCGCATCGCCTCAGAAAAAGGGGGTTCATGTATCAACTCACCGGATGACAGCAATTACATCTCCCTCCGTTGTCCGCATAGTCGTGCTCAGCCCACGCAGCACAGCACAAACGGCAGTCTGGCCAAGCAGCCGTGCTCATCTCGTGATCCAGGGTGAAGACCTCCGAGCCTTCAAAGTCCGCGGCGTTGCAGCCCGGAGGCGGAGGCAGCGTGAGCTGCTGCCACGTCCAATCGACGAGTTGCGCCACCAGGAGATGCAGCTCGAATCTGCACAGCATGTCCAGGCCACCGCGTCCACTCCCGCTCCCGCTCCCGCCCGTCGCACTCCCGGCGCCTAGTTCCTGCTGAAGAACGTCGTCGCCCTTGCTGAGCAGCCCCGCGACGGTGGCATTCATCGCGAGGGCGCCCTGGCCCAGCGTGAAGCGCTCGTCCGCCTCGCGCAGGGCGCCGATCGAGCCGGAGCGCATGTCGGCGACGAGGGACGCCAATGCCCGGGATACCTGTGTGCACACGCCCTGGTAGGTGTCGTTGAGCATCCCGTGCCCGACCTCGGCTAGCTTCTGTGACACTGGACTGGTTGTCGGGTCTAGGCCCCTGATCGACGGTTCGTGATAAGCCCATGGCCAAGATGGTGTTGTGCTCGGGAGGATCCAGTTTAGCAGGAGGAGCATGAACGATGTGACAGAGGCCCCGAGATCCGTCCATGTCCACGTCGTCTCGTCTGCGTCCGCGTCTGCGATGGGGAGTGCGCTTTCCCCGGCCTCAGTTCGACAAGCAGCTGGATATGACCCGTCCAGAATGTGCTTCGACGTCAGAGACAGGTCCGTTCTGTTCACAAGGATAAACTCGCGTATATCCATGTGGGTGCAGTTACTGGTGAAGCGAATAGAATTGTAAACTCGCTTGGGTAGACATTGACGATTGTTTTCGCAATGCATACCGTCGGCGTATGAAGCCTCGCTACATTGGAGGGAAAACGGCGGGTTGTCGATGAGAGGTGCACATTGCGGTCCGGAACATAACAACGACATGGACAGCCCATCCACCCCATTGCAGTAATGCGCGTCCAACGAGCTGCCAAGCGGGCCGGTGGTGTTATTATTTTCAATCAGCCCCAAAGCGGTCAACGTGCCCACAAGCTCTAGAAGTCTATTAGCCGACATATTGTCAATCAGGTGTGAAGACTCGCATCTGCTTGGACAGTGAGCCTGCGAAAGGGGCCGGTCACACTATTTAGATATATAAATTACAGACAGCACACCTACCACCGCCTATGCGAAGCCTCGAAGCAGCAAGCCCACCATACTTGCCTCTATTGAACAGGCGCCTTATCACTGTGTTCTTGACTTCGCAGGGGTCTGAGGGGAAAAAAGGACGGGAGCGAGGAGATTGTGCAGAGTCGACCCCCGTGCTGATTGGAACGTCGAGGGTTGGGGCTGAAATGGCGCTTACCAGCAGGGCAACTGACCCATGCAGTGCGGTTGGGCTTTCAAAGGGCAAACCTACGCTGGCTTGACACTATCAATAAGCTTAACTGAATCTGATCGGGTGCGGGGATTTGGCACCTTGACCCTGGTACTTCAATCAGGCATCTGTCGAATTTGATGGGCGAGCGAGCATGATCTCACCAGCAGGGTCGCTCGTGCCAGGAGAGAGCGGCAAGGCAGAGTCTGGCCTCTTGTCATGTCTGCTGAGGCTCAGGAACCAATGAGCAGAAGTTTACATCCTGCTTGGTCACGATGTTTCAGTCATAATATCTTCATATAACTAAGTATACTAGAATTAAGGGAATTCTATAGGGCTAGGAAAGCTAGAGCTCTACAGATAGAAGAGATTTGGAACTACTTAGAAATACCCAGTGGGAGATTTGGTTGAAGTGATGTAGGCTATAGACTTGGAGTTGGAACCTTGCGTTGTCAACCCATACACATGCCGCAGTGCCGAATCCACCAATTTTTCAGGACTCCGGCTTCACAGTGAAGCTCAGTGGCGAATAAATGGGGATAAAATCTTAGAGAATGTAACTTTCGTGTACTATAACAGTCTTGCGAGAGAACTCGATGGCATTCCATGAAGATTCATTTGCTAGTAAGCCTTGACGGTCTTGCTAACCGACACAGCCCTCTACTCCTAGCAAGTGAATTTGAATTCGGCAGACTTGGCTCTATTGGCTTAATACTCGTTTGACAACTTGCTTTCCAACTTATTATTGTGATATATTGGGGTGGCATCTTAGGTAGGTAGAGAAAGACGGTTTGTTGTAAGAGGTACGAGATATCGTGACGTCAGTTGATCGCCGACTTCTTAGCGTCGAAGCCTTTCATCATCCGTGCATCACATATAAACAACACTTTCAACTTGGGAGTAAATGCTCTACCAAATAACTCCACGATCGCCATTACCGGAATACAACACGGCTCTCAACTCTTTCTCTGTCAAGATTCCTTCAATGTCATAAGCACCATGCCTCTTCATCTAACGGGCAGTTGTACCTGTAAGACCATCCAATACTCTGTTGACCTGGACTCGCTGGATTCTGCTCGAACGTCCCTCTGTCATTGCTCGAGCTGCAAAAAAGCCTTCGGTACCAACTATGGGCTCACAACCAAGGTCCGCCATGACGACTACCTACTTGCTTATTTATATCATTAACCAACCTTTTCGAAGATCCCACTTGACAGGTTTAAATATGAGAATGGGAAACCGAAGCTATTCAAACAGGAAAACGGCGTGATCAGAGAGTTCTGCGACAACTGTGGGTCATTTCTATGCGAGTACGGAGTAAGGATATCGAAACAAGCATAGAAACAACGCACGTGCTTACTGCAAGTAGGAGCAAGCAGCCGATAAGTTTCGCTATATTACTTGGGGTACGTTCGATGACCCTGAGAAGCTTCCGCCGAAGGGAGAGTTCTTCTGTAAGGACAGAGCCAGCTGGATGCCCGAGGTGCCAGGTTTGTCTCTCATCTGTGCGTGTTGTCAAGATTTCCAATTGATACCTGTTAGATGTATTCCATAAGCAAGAGATCAAAGAGTGATATGTTGATTGTGGGATGGAAAATTCCATGCCTCAATGGAAAGTTAAGTGAAATCTGAAACTTGCTATGTATAGTATCACCAAATGAAACGCTGAAGTTGAAGACTTTTCGAAGTGACAAAACTGGTGATATATCTGTATGAGCTAGGCGTATCAGCATCTTACTATTTGACTAAATTCACATGGTTGTAGGAAGAAATTAACTACATTGCCATTGAACAGCTCCCGCGGTCCCACTTGGAGGTGTGGTTGGTGCGGTTGCAGGGTGCAGCCTGGACCGTTGGGCGTGAGCAGGCAGTGGGTGCGGCTCAATTAGGGGGGCGGCGGGTGTGTTGTACCATCCGCCCCCACAAGCCATTACATTCCACCTCACTTTAAATACAAAGGCATTTGCAGGACAACGGAAGTACAGAGTGCATTCTATAGTTTATGCCATCAGTATCTGGAGAAGGAAAGCATGATCATACAACCCCCCTCCATTGAGGCTCATGTCTCAGGACCCGTGGCCATCCACCCCAGTTCCTCCTCTCCGGTATCCACATGTTCATTGTGTTCTCCAGTCTTGTTTATAACAATATGTGTCTGAGCAGTGACTCGCGTCTCTCGCGTGCCCAGACACATCCTAATAGGTCGTCTGGTCTAAGTCTAGTAAATGATGTGGACTACGCATACCGTGGCCAAGCAACGGCCAAGCAAATCAGTCATTCAGTCGTCAAAGGTGTCCATGATAATGGTGTGATATCCATGAGGTTCTGACAAAGTGTGGTCCGCATCTACTGGACCAAGTGCCAACACCTCATTGTATCGCCGGACGACGCGCAGCATTATCTCGGCTCTCTGGAGCTCCTCGACGAGGTATCCTCTGTCGCCGTTGCGTGACGAACAGCATTTTCCAGAGCACCCAGCTGTTTTTTTCTCTCGTCATGAGCTTGGCCGGCAGTGCGAAGCGTGCATCTGGCTGTCTCAACGCTTGTCTCTGCAGTTGCGCATGCAACGGCGAGGCTCTCGCGGTATGCCTTGTCGACCTCGTTCATATCTCCTGCGTAAAACAGCTTCGAGTAGGCCTGCAGCTTCTTCTCGGCATTCTCGTATTGAGCGATCGCAGTGGCAAGACCATCTTCCAAGGCCTGGCGAGCACCGACACCTGACACTGCGAATATTGTCGGGGCGGTTGTCCTTGCCTCCTCCGCTTTGGTCTGGGCTTCGACGAGAGAGGTGTGGGCATCTGCGGCCTTGGTTCGTAACGCTTTAACTTTGCCGCTGACCTGGCCAATGGCTACACTTGTGGTGTCCTTGAACTTGTTGAGAGATGAGTCCTACTCATCACGGACCTAGTAGGGGGATAGTGAATTAGCATCATCATCGTATGACAGAGTGATTGCGTTTAGCTGCAGAAGCGGGTAGACAGCCAAAGTGGAGAGTCCGCCTACATTCTGAGTGAGGAAGCTTCCAAAATCAAGGTGAGAAGCTTCGGCCGGGGCTAGAACTGTAATTCCGGCCGAGGTGCGACGTCTCTTCAGGCGTTGATTCAAAGGCTCCGATGCTAGTCGGGGGTTTGCTGGTTCTAGTTGTGATCCTTGGGGAGTTGGCAGGCTTATTTGCCGTGTCCCTGGAACAAGGAGATGGCGTATTAGCAAGAGTATATCAGAGGAAGGTAAAGCGCAGGTAGGGGCCCGTTGGATCACTTGCAAACGTCGTCTGTCCTGTACATACCGTTCTGGCCGTTTTGCGGCCCGTGAGGAGACGCCATCGAATCTGGTCTTGACGGTGAGGTTGGAATCGTCGGTGATGATGATGGTGACGGTGACGGTGACGGTGATTGCGATGGTACCTGGAAGCTTGCAGACTGCAGCCTGTTCTCCTGGAACTTTGACAGTAAGGTAGGACTCGTCAGGATTGCTACGATCTGTGCCTCTCGTGCTCTTGCGTACCTCAACACCAGAACACGCAACACATTGCGAGCGATGATCAATGAAGAGGTGATATTATGCCTCCTATGAAGTGGGCAGACACATTCTCTCCAACCAAAGCCCATGCAGACGCGTACCCAGGACACAGCCCGAAGCGAGCGTAATACTCAGCCATCAATATCATTATCTCCAACCGGGAAATCCCCCGCAGCCTCTCATAATCCCACGCTTGGAAGCACCCCAAGCCCGCTCGCCTCGGAGAACTTGTCTTTCCCCATACCCTCGTCAAGCTGCCAGTGAACGAAGGCACGCTTGGAGTGCATGAGATTGAACTTGGTGGACAGAGCAGACCAGGCCTCTGCCATGGCAGTGGTGTCGGACAGCATGCAGCTATATCACAAACTCAGTATTCATTTAACAACGATTAGGTTTGGATCGACTTACACAGCACGGTTGATCTTGGAAAGATCGCTGTTGAGGATGCTGCGAGGAGGCTCGAAGCAGATATCGGGCTTGAAGCTGGTCGGGACATGGCCAGGGACAGGGACAGCTATAGGGATGTCAGCCGCGAGCAACCCGCGAGGCACCCGCACATTATTGCCATGGTGTTGGTAGGATGTACAGACTTGTAAGATGCTTGTCCACGCCACGAATTCACTTGATCCATCTGGTGGTCTAGCGATGGGTCACTTACATCTCGTTCCTTGAGCTTGAAGCCAAGCGGGCCACCATCAACGGCGGCGGCGGAAAGAGGGACCACCTAATGGGTCCCGCGGCCGTGGCCGTGGCCATCGGCGCTGAGCTGGAGACATAGGAGCTCTGACTATCCGGTTGAAGATGTCACGGGCTTGGAAGCTCTGGCTGGGATTAAGAAAGACAAGGAGTAGGTTTGCTTGTTGGTTTGGTTTCGAGAAAACAAGAAGAAGAGAGAGAGAGAGGAGGTAAGTTAACCTAGTGGCGGTATGTGCTGTTACCAACCTAGGGGAGGTATGCATCTAGGTAAGGTAGGTAGTTATCCAAGGGCAGCATCCATATGGGATACAAAATACACCTGCAAGCTTTGGTACCCTGCCCAGCGCAGCTGCCCAACTAACTGCATTGCATATTGCACAGACTGCCTGACAGGACAGACCTGCACTGTGTCATGTCAGTCTACCGGCTTCGAATCAACATATGCTCAGTCGACGCAGCTACCAGAAACTCAAGCTACATTTCGCTGCTCCGCCGGTTACTGCGAACATTTGCCTTTGTTGTGGCAGCAGCGCAGAAGCCAAAACGGCGACAGACATTGCCACATTCCGCGGCCCACCATTCTCCGGGAAGTTACAGCCTACAGGCTTGATGTACCTCGCTCGTTTGGACTTCAAGTCTCTCTGGAGATCAATCTGCTCCAATTATTTGGATCTCTGCTGCCGCTGGACTCGTTGTGTCTGCAGATGATAAGACACCTCTAGTGTCGGCAGCGGGCGTGAGGTCAGCAGAAGCAGAGAGAAAGCATGAGGGAAACGAGTATACTTGACACTAGCCTAGGGAAGAGCGAGAGAGAGGTGTAAGCTTGAGTAGGGAGTCAGCCAGCGACCTGGATCGGCTTCTAAGCAGGTGATTGGTTAAAAGTCCACCAATTGAATAGAAACCTGTAGAAACTAGGATACTTGAGTACTGCGGCTTCGACTACGAGAAAACAACAAAAGAAAAAAAAGAAAGGAGGGAGGGGAAGGGTGGTGGTAAGGAATATTGATTGAGAACAACCTCCATCTTGATGTGGATGGCACGGCCAAACGACCGAGGAAAGCGTAGGATCAATTTAGGCGGGAACAAAAAGGTCGAAGAGCAATGGGATTTGCGTAGTAGGCGATATCCCACCCGCCTCATGGAGGTTCTCATCAAATCAATAGACAGAAGTCCCACNNNACTGGCTCGGCATCGATTTTCAGCTCGAGACAGACGTAGCTGATCTGTGTGAACTGCGGACCAACTGTGCAGATGTATTGGATGTATAACTTAGTGAACTAACTCCCACCCTGTCACACCAGCCCGCCTACTGGAGCTTATCAAGTCCATCATTGCTCCTCAAGACCTCAACTCCTTCTCTATCCCTCTTCAATCACGCTAAGGTCGTGTCGGTGCTGTGATGCCACGGCGAGGAGAGGCACGAGTGGACGACAGGCGGATGGACGGACTGACGGACGGACTGTTCGGATTTTCCGTTTTGAATGTTACACTCTGTTGTCGACGCATTATTAGCCATGATTCTCCTACATCAAATGCACATGTCACGGAGGCGACCGAATATGGATCAATGCAGAGGAGAAGGGGTACATACAAGATCCACTGGCAACGTCAGTGTTTGACACCGGAGAGCCGGAAAGCGAGGCCCACGGCGACCACAGACGCGCTGACGGACGCACCTAAGTAGAGGGCAAACCGTCCACATGCCTGAGCCTTGGTAGCCACTGCTTCGGCCATGGCGCCGGCGTTTTGGCCCTGCGTGTTGACAAGTTGTGCGCGAGCATCGACAATGCGCGCTTCGGCATCGAGATGGCGTGCTTGGGCATCGACAAGGCGTGCTTGGGCATCGATGACGGCGGCTACCGCCTCCTCCTGGTTTGCGCCCAGAGCCGCCGGATTCTCGAGGCGCAGGGTGGTCAAGGTGCCGGCGTCGGGGCCGGAGACTGTAAGGTCACCTGCCAGCTGGGAGCCATCGCCTTTCTAAGGCTTGGTGCCAACCAGCTTGGCGAGGCGTTCGATTGCGTCGGTGACTGAAGATGGGGAAACGGAGTCAGAGAAGGGGAAACAGAATGAATTTTTTAGGTGGGAAAAGAGGCGCCAGGAAGGTGGGGGGGCGATGGAGTACCAGATAAATCAGGTTCCATACCGTACCGTACCATACAATACATACCTATGGGGATTGCCGTCAGGACCTGTCCAAAGACCTGCTGGCGATTGGTGGTGGTTCCGTTTGCTTCTGGATCCATGGCGATTGTCGGGAGCTCGGTATGGAGCAACGTGAAACGGCGATGGTAGGCAGGAGTGTGGTCCTGGGAAGGAACAGCAACGCTGAAACGGCAGAGAATCATCATGATGGCGGATCTCTCCCTAGAGGGGAAAGGAAAGTGGGCCTCTTAGGGAAATAATTCTGACTCTGATGAGCAGATGGTTTTCACCGCGATCGAGCGAGCGCGGGTGGACTGCGGCCAGCCTGGGCAGTCTGCGATTTTTCCTGAGGATGGCGATGGGGGTTGCAGGCGCCTGGCTGTCTATTTGATGACGAGTTGTTCACACGATAGCGAACAACAAAGGAGAGGAGAGATTTATCGGTCAGTCGCGGTGTATTGGTGGTGAGTGCGTTGCGCCATAGGGAGAAAAAAGACAGAACAAATGAAGTTGTGAAGGAAAAAGGAAGAGAAAGAACGTCATTACTTCTGTGCTGCGTCATCTTTGTTTATCTGGGGCCTGAGGGGCCCGTGCGCTTATCGATTGCCCCTGATAGATCATAGACCTGAGGAGGTTCGACTAGGAGAAGTTCACGTTGAAGGTACGCAGGAGTTCCTTTGGGCTCTGCCAAGGATCAGCACGAGGGAACAGTGAGCAACGGAGGAAGGGTTTAGTTACAATAGATGCTATTGAACGGACTTCGATGGCTGACCAGTATTAGACTGGAGGAAGTCCAGCAGAGGTGGCTTGACAAAGGGCGTTGAATACAAAATATACCTTACATACGACGAATTGCAAGATGCCATCTCCAAACAGCTAGTACACATTAATTTCGCCCAACAGGCCCGGCAACCGCGGGTCTCGATATTCCTTGCCCAGTTAGCTGCGGCTGTTGTTTTGAACCTGCAATGGTGTGATGCACTCTTGGCCCCCATTGGCTTGAGGCAGACTAAGAAGTTTTGACACCTACCGCGGAAACAGCGAAAACAGTTCCGCCCGAGCCGCGGAGAAGACACTTGGGCGGCACAATCAGCTAGCTACCTGGACGACGGCGATGCTCAGTGGCAGGCTCGGGGACGATAATACGAGCTGCATCTGGAGCGAACTTGATTACGCCGTGGCAGCCCGCCAACAACAAGAAAAGAGCTACTACAAGTCCCAGGGCAGCCCTAGAGGTGTCGATAAGGTGGTCGTCGTTCTCACCATGGCAGTCTGCCGCACGATGAGGGGAATTGGGGTTTGACTTGCGTCAGGCATCACATTAGTCTTTGGGTTTCTCATCATGTCATGCTCTTCACCCGAAGAGCGATCCTAGTTCGCATATTGCTATGCTCCCACAAGTCCAGGCGGAATGCTCGGTAACATTAACAAAGGCAGCAGAGATCAGTGTCAGTCTTGACCGGTTGCTGCCATATCCATCGTGATTTTCGACACTCACGCATCGAGTCGTGACGAAAAACCAGTGTTTGTATTCCGTCACGAGCATGCCTTGCTTGGTTTATACTCCAACTCCTATACCACGAATCCAATAGGCGAGGGAGAGCGACGAGATTAAGCAAGCGATGGCGGCAAAGCAGGCAACGATAAAGGGGCTATCGGCAGTGGTCCCCAAAACCTAGGGATCTCAACCCTGTTTAGTTTCATCCGACAAGCATTCATCGTATGAAGCTACACGGAAAGAGGACGGAAAGAGGACAGAAACGGACGCGCCACAGAACCCCAAGGCAGCCAGTACAACCACCCAGACGAGCCAAGAGGAAAGACACAAACAGTAGATTTTGATCGTATTATCGGGAATAATGGCAGGGGAAGACTGAAGTGCTGGCTCTGCTAAGTGACTCGACGCAAAGTGGAGAAGCCCTTGTACCTTGGCGCTCCAGCAGCACTCGATCGCCAGATGATCGACTGTCGCCATCCTGGCACCGGCATACCCGAATTCCATATCATCAGGCAATCCCCGGGCCGCCTGAGTGGACAAGATAAGTGTGGCTAGGTAGCGCCATGGAATTCATGGTTGCCTTTTCGGGAGACGAGTCATGATCTGATTGGCTTATTTGCATCAGCATTAGCACCGGAAAGCCCCCCCCTGGGACCGATGTACATGTACAGTGCATTTCAGCCAGTGCGAATTCACTTAGGAAGTTCCAACAGAAGACGCCAATCCAGCACAATACAGACAAACAAACAGCTATACCCCTCGTGTTAAGGAAGAAAAGTGTCCTTCCTGGGGTAACTTTCGAACTAAAGACGCACTCTTGCAATGCTTTCTTTCTGCAAATTCGCTGTCTCAATTAGTGGGCTTCTTTTGTCTCTGCTCCGACTCGGCAAACAGTCCCCACGGACCCCAGCCGACAGTATGAAGGCTCACACAAACAGCACGCTGCTAGAACCTCTGAGCTCCTCGATCACACATATTCTCCGTATAAGCGGAGCAGCGGGTGCCTCCGTTGGAATCCTCGATGGCTCAACTGGAGCAACGCATGTTGCTGGCTATGGCTACCGAGATGTAGCTGCAGGTCTCCCGCCCAATGAGCATACTGTCTATCACTTGGCATCGCTGTCCAAAAGCTTCACCGCCATCGCGATTTCTCTGCTAGTTGCGGACGGCAAACTGTCATATCAGGACCGTATGTGCGATATTCTACCTACATTCCACCACGCGGATGTAGTCATTGCATCTCAGAGCACCCTCCTCGATTTCTTGTCCCACCGAACGGGTCTCGCAACCAAGAATGCCTTGTGGCAACAAGATGGGCATGAGCTCCTGCGCGAACAGACCGGTACTGTGACGATGGTATCATACCTCGAGGTCATTGAACCATTGGGGTCTCGTTGGATCTATAATAACTGGGGCTATGATATTTTGTCTCAGGTCGTCGCGGCTGCATCTGGCAAGCCTTGGGCGACCTTCGTGTCTGAGCGGATCCTGAGGCCGTTAAACTTGCAAAAAATAACAACAGATATTCATCCTCCGGAGAAGAATTGGGCCCAAGGCTACATGCCGGCTCCGAACTGCGAGATGACTAACGTTGGACGTCCTGTCATTGCCGGTGGAACCGTCCAGCAGGGCGCTAACGCGGTGAAGAGTACCGTCAGTGATCTTTTAGGCTACTATAAAGCCATCTCAGATGCTTGGACGTCAGAAACCTCCCCTGGCACCGCGGCCAATTCGACTGGTACTACCACACCATTGAGAAATATCCAAGAATTGCTCAAACGACATATCCCCTTGGATCCGGATGCCAGCCCCAAGATCGGCGGACAATGGTACGGGGCTGGATGGGCACTTGCTGACCTACCGGCACCGCTCGGATGTATAGGCACCAATGGCATGTTTGTGCCATCAATGCCGATTGTAGGTCGTGGCTGCAACAACCACAGCGTTGATGGTGGTAGAAAAACTCGAGTTTGGTATCACAATGGGAGCTTGGTCGGTTTTTTCAGCTCTGTTCATGTCTTGCCAGAGAGTGGTACCATCATCGTCGTGCTCGTCAATTCAATCCCGAAAAATGACTGTGCTGATTGGATAGGCCAGCTGCTTGTGGAGGAGATGTTGCAGTGTTCCGAACGAAATGATTATGAGACTCTAGCACGTGAGAGCGCTGCTGCTTATGACGGCATGTGCAAGCAACTGCAGGATGATCTGAACGAGTCCAAGTCTGAAGGGGCCATTAGCCGGCCACTCCCAGAGTACTCTGGCAAATACTTCAACAAGTTGGGAAATTGGTTCATCGAAGTCACACATCATGATGGAAAGCTACAGTTCTCATTCCAGGGGCGGTCAACTCAAACACACAAACTGGTATTACATGGCAACGACACCTTCAGCTGGCCCTTGACAGAAGCTCAATCCCGAACCCGGGGCAGATGGCCCTACTTGGACGTGCCGACCTACCTTTTTCATTTTGAATTCGATGAGCATGGAAAGGTTTCAACTCTTCGTTGGGAACATGATCCCGACGTTCCTGGTGGAGAAACCTTCATCAAAAGAGATGGAATTTCAGAGCCCGAGCAAGGTCGTGCAGAATTCTAGTATCTTTTCATAAGGATAGGTCTATAGACTCTATGGTATTCAAAGTCTTGTTTAGTTTAGTAACGTAAGTTTATGTAGATTTCCTACACCAAGAGCAAGCAACCGTTCTTGGTAACGATGATTCTTGGTTGCTCTTAGTAAAGTGAGAGGTTTCTACCAGTTTGCGTCACCTCATGTTCCATGTACCAGTACAACCAGGTTGCTTCTCGTGGCGCCAACAATGGAAGACGAAACCCGATTTGCCATGTGCCGGCCAATCAAGAGGCTCATACGGAGATAGTTGCATTTTCTCGAGTGCGGTAAGTCATCACTAAAGCCACAACTTGCAGAAGAAGGCTCGGATGGGTCAGCATTTCCGCACCTTAGCAAGCGCCCTTCCTTTGCCGTGTCGGATCACGGCCCTTTTCTGCAGCGCCTTCTCCTTTCCCACACAAACACACTGGGTATGCAGTAACAACGCTTCTCACCATGGCATCATCCACAGCTGAATTGAAAGCTTCCTGGAGTGACCTGGTCAATAAGCATCAAATTGACCTGGACCATGCTAGTCCACTAGCACCTAACAACTTTTCTCCCTTAACCTATGATGCATTAAAATCTTCTATTGAGGACTTACGAAGTAAGTTCTGTCAAAGAAACATACTTCGGGGCTTCGAAGCAATCGACAAGACTCTCGTCCTGGTAGAGTCTTTCTCCGTCGCCTTAAGCCTTGTCTCGCAAAATGAAACATCCGGTATGATGATATTAGGCTCACTGAAGCTTGTGATGGAGGTAAGATAATTTATCTGATGATCTCGATAATTTTTACGAACTCCTTAGCCTTCTGCTTTACTATGATGCTCACGTTACAGTGTGTTCGACTGTATTCTAATGACGCCGAACCGACTCTCCACTTGATTGTGCGCATGAACGCCGTCCTTCCGTCCTGTCATCGTGGGCTAAAGTCATCCGAAGCAGTTCATTCTGCTTTGAAAAAGCTGTTCACAGAGTACATCAATAGTTGCAAAA